TGGGTAGATACATAGACGGATGGATAGATCAACGAAGGATGGATAAATGGAACAACTGAATAAACAAGTGCCAGGCTGAAGGGCAACACTTTATCCCTCAGGCTATGGGCAACCCTTCAGGCAGGCATCACAAGTGTGTGACCTGAGCATCTACATCCTGTCCCTGCCCTGGGTGGGGTGTTTGCTCTACGCTTACTTCCGCGATGCCGTGAACACCCTCAATCCACAGAGACAGCTTAGAAAGTCAGACAGCCCTTACCCTCCCTGACCAGGAAAAGAGCGGCAGGGTCTGGCCGTCCACCTATGGCTGGTTCAGGTCCTCAAGATTGAGTTCCCTGAAAGCTCACAGCCTCCTCTTTTTTTAAAAAAAAATATATATATCTTTATTGATTTCAGAGAGGAAGGGAGAGGGAAAGAGAGATAGAAACATCAATGATGAGAGAGAATCATTGATGGGCTGCCTCCTGCACATCCCCCACTGGAGATCAAGCCCGCAACCCAGGCACGTGCCCTTGACCGGAATCGAACCTGGGACCCTTAAGTCCACAGCCTGACGCTCTATCCACTGAGCCAGACCAGTTAGGGCCAGCTGCCTCTTTTTATTTGCCTTTTATATGATGTAGCAAAACATTATACTCAAGTCTTCCATTCCTCTCAGGGACTTACAGCTTCCTGTGACCTCTTCTGACTTCATCCTCCTGGAGAACAGCGTCCACCCAGTAGAAATCACATGCACTCTGCACTCGATTTTTATTTGACATATTACTTTTCATGATACTAGATAGTATTTATTTGAGTCACTGCTGGTGGCTGTGTCCAGGCCTTTGCTATACAATCGTGTAATCCATCATGGTCAGACAGCTGGGTGGTTTGTAAGTCTCAGTAGCCCAAGCAACCCTGTGGTTGGGTGCAGAACAGTGTGGCCAGCGAGCTACCTTTGTGTAAAAATATATATATATATATATATGCCTGTCTGTGCATAAAATACCTCTGGAAGGAGTCTGAGAAATGGTAATTTTCAAGGACACAGATGGGGAGAGGCTTTTCACCTGTTCCTTTGCCTTTTCAAAACGGAGCTTAGATTTCTCTTTCCTAAGTTTATTAAATTAACATTTCAAAAAGTTGAGGTTCCTCCCGGAGGTGGAGCCTAGTTCCCGCCCTCCCCACTCGAGGGTGGCTTAGATTTACTGTCTCACTTCCAAAGGGTAGAGTTTGGCAAATGAAAAATAGTAACTTCACTGCACAGCAGGGAAGCAAAACAGACACCACCTCAACCACAACTCAGGTGAACCTCACTGGTGTCCTGTGGGTGTCACAGATGCGATAAGGGCGTTTTCTCGAAAACCTATAATCTGGTCCTATTAGGGGAAAGCCACCAAATGAACCCCGATTGGACAGCCTACAGGATACCTGCCAGTCCTCCTCAAGGCTGCCCAGGAGGAACGGTCAGGTTAGAGGAGAGACGTGACAACTAAACACCATGTGCTTCCCTCCACCGAGTCTTGGAACAGAAAGAGGACACTGGGGGCAAGACAGGTGAAATCCAAACCCAGTCGGGAGGTCAGTTCCCGCCATGGGCCCATGTCAGTTTCTTGGTGTGACAAATATGCTACGATAACATGAATGTCAATAATGGGGACACGGGGGGAGGCAACTCTCCATGTTACCTTCACAGCGTTTCTGTAAATCTGAAGCGATTCCACAATAAAAAGTTCACTTAAAAAAAAAAAAGGTTTCTGCCCTAGTGGGTTTCCTCAGTGGTTAGAGCGTCAGCCTGCAGACTGAGAGTCCCGGGTTCGAGTCCGGTCAAGGGCATGTACCTCGGGTGCAGGCTCGATCTGTGGCCCCAGTCAGGGAGCCTGCGGGAGGCAACCGACTGATGTGTCTCTCTCGCTTCGATGTTTCTCTCTGTTCCTCCCCCTCCACTCTCTCTAAAAATCAATGGAGCCCGGCCAGCGTGGCTCAGTGGTTGAGCGACCACCCATGAACTCAGAGGTCTCGTTAGACTCCTGGTTGCAGGGCCAATCCCCATTGTGCTGGGCGTGCAGGAGGCAGCCAATCAATGATTCTCTCTTGTCATTGATGTTTCTTTTTTTAAAAAATATATTTTATTGATTTCTTACAGAGAGGAAGGGAGAGGGATAGAGAGTTAGAAACAATGATCAGCTGCCTCCTGCACACCTCCTACTGGGGATGTGCCTGCAACCAAGGTACATGCCCTTGACTGGAATCGAACCTGGGACCCTTCAGTCCGCAGGCCAACGGTCTATCCAATGAGCCAAACCGGTTAGGGCTCGCCATTGATGTTTCTATCTCTCTCTCCCTTCCTCTCTGAAATCAATAAAAAGAAAAAAAAATCAATGGAAAAGGTGTCCTTAGTGAGGATGAACAGGAAAACCAACACAAAAAGGTTCCCCAGGTTTTAACGAGGAATAAAGTAAAACCAACAGCCTCCTGTAAACCTTGGGAATAGAAGCTTTTCTTTGGTCAGTGGCCTCAGGAGCGCTGGGTGCGATGAGTCAGGGACGGGTGCGGACACTCCCGGAGCATTCCTCAGCAGTTGGGCCGGCCGAGGTACGCTGGGCCTGGTGTTTGTCTGGGGTTGGGTGAGGCTGCTTCAGCAGGAGGAATTGCTGTGACGCTAGAAAGAACACAAATTCCCTCAGCGCCGTGGTTTGCATCACTTGTGCACTCACTCTAGAAGGTGCCTGGGTTCTTTTTGGTGGAAATGGCTCAGACCCAGGGGGTCTAGAAGCCAGAGTCTGGGCGCCACCTTTGCTCCTGGCCAGCAAGGCGCCCGCTGGGGTGGGGCGTTTCCGGATCTCAGTTTGTCTCACTGTAAAACGGGAGGGTAACTTCTCTCTCATAAAGAACGTGTGAGAGCACTTGGCCAAGGTACGATCAGTTCAAACATGAAACCTCAAACTTTTCTGCCGTGGGCCTAAGGGCAGAATAGAAGGTGAGAGGTTGGTCAGGGGCAGGAATAGCCCAAAGCAGCCGTCCTCAAATATGCTTTGGGAGTCGGGGGGCGTTTGAATCTCAAGGTTTCGCTTTAAAATGTTTAAAACTTGATGCTCCAGTCCACGTAGGGCACGCACTAAGGGCCAGGTCAGCTTCCGGGCCCGCGGCCCTGGCTGTTGACAGGGTCCTGTGCTTAGAAGGGCCCAGCGTTTGATGTCACGCCCTGTTGTCAACATCTTGCACCAGAGCCCACATCTTCCTTTTACACCAGGACCTGCACGTCCTGTAACCGGTCCTGCTAAAGGCACTCGGGTGTGTACGTCCGAAGCTGAGCCTCAGGAGAGCAGTTCCTAGGGGAGGAGTAGGCTGGGAGGCAGGGTTTACAGGAAGTCTGGCCACACTAGGAAACGTGCCCTTTACATTCCTAAGAAGCCATCAGTAACCCTTCCACGTTGGGTGAGGGGGTGGATTTGGTTTTGGAGGGACAGTGTGTCCACATCCTGCCGGGAGGAATGCCGGAAGCACGTCTTGGGTGTGCCCGGCTGCCGGCTGCCATGTTGGGTGTGTTCACCCTGAGAGAACAAACCAATAAAGTGGGGCTAAAGGGCCCGCTCTCTCTCCTTGATCCCTGTCCCAGGCTGAGTCCAAGCAGAGAGCCTGTTGTTTCCTTAAGTCTCCGGACTCTGGGATTTTGAGGGGCAGGGACTACAGTTTCCAGTTGAGAGCGCAAGTCCGTTGGGTCTCTGAGGAAGGGAGATCTGGCTGCAGAGAAGAAGAGCCCAGAGCCTGCCTGGGCCTTGCTCAGCCTTTACTTCGTGCCTGAATTCCACCTGGAGGCTGGCCAGCCCCCTCACCTGCCCTGACTTTATCCCTGGCCCTGCCCCTGGCCGAGGTCCCACAGGGCCCCGCCCAGCCCCACCTCCACACCTTTGCCCCCACCTGAAGCTGCACCTGTCCCAGCGCACCAGTCCTCAGGGAGGCCAGGCCACCCCCTCCTGCCGGCCTTTCTGGCTTCTCGGGTTCCACTCTCTGCACACTCACAGCGCGCTGGGTGCTGGCACGGTGCCTGCCAGTCTGTCTCAGGTCTGTTGGTTTCATGAGGGTTTATGTATCCGATGTCCAGTTCTCCCAGAGCCCCCATAAAAGTTCAGTGATGGCCCTTAAGCACAACTTAGTAGACGGCTCGGAGTGTGGGCTCTGAAGTCAGAGAGACCTGAGTTCAAATCCTGACTAGACAGTGTGATCCTGGACACCTTACCCCAGTGATGGCGAACCTATGACACGCGTGTCAGAGGTGACACGCGAACTCATTTTTTTGGTTGATTTTTCTTTGTTAAATGGCATTTAAATATATAAAATAAATATCAAAAATACAAATCTTTGTTTTCCTATGGTTGCAAAGATAAAAAAATTTCTATATGTGACACGGCACCAGAGTTAAGTTAGGGTTTTTCAAAATGCTGACACGCCGAGCTCAAAAGGTTCGCCATCACTGCCTTACCCAGAACTCCGGAGCCTCAGCTATAAGATGAGAGCGGTGTCCTGGGTTCATCGAAAGAACAGTGGCTGCCGATGCTGTCATTGTTATGACTGGGTAGGGACAAGGGGACTCTAACAGACTCGAAGATGGTAATGGCCAGCACAGGCTTATATTCCGGGCAGTGTTCTAAGAGCTTTATGTAGGAGTCAATGCTGTGAGGCTGATATTATTATTTCCTCCGTTTTTCAGAGGGGGAACAGATCCACAGATTACTAAGTGTCTTGCCCGGCTTTAAAGTTAATGACAGGGAGCTGGGATTTTGAACCCAGGCACCCGTTAACAACACTAGTCCTCCACCACCACAGGGCCCCTCCCTACCACCCCCGGCCTGGGCTGGGCCACTGCCAGCCGCTTCTGACCTAATGCTGGGAGGGCCTACTACCTAAAGAAAAAACACGTTGTCTTCAAAATGTTAGCATTCCAGGTAGCTAATGTATACTGAGCAAAAACCATGCCCCAGGAACTATGCAAAAGATGGAAGTATCTCATTTAATCCTCAAAGCAATCCTGAGTTAGAGGCCATTGTTAGATACCACCATTTCACAGAGGGGAACTGAGCTCAGCCAGTTTCAATAGCTTGCTCAGGGTCACAGAGTAGAATGTGGCAGAATGGGGACTCGAACCCAGGTGTGTGCTGCTCTCCTCCCCAAATGGAAGCAGACAGGTCCTCGGGGCCCACTGGACTCTCCTTCTGTCTGGAAGTCAGGCCCTAAAGCACAGCGGCTGACTCTGGGAGGCTGGAAGGGAGCTGGCCAACCCACTCCCTGGCTCCAAGAATGTGAGTAGGTCAGGGTGAGCTGCCCCCTCCAGCTCTTCCTACTTCCCCAGCCTCTCCTCCCCTTCCCCACCTTCCACCCCAGACTAGAAGAGGCAAACTCTAGCCCCTGGTTTCCAAAGAGCCTGGTTTTCCTGGAAGGCAGGATGAGGAGAGGGCAGGTTAACTTTCCTGTAAGCAGCGGAGGGTGAGTCAGCGTGTGGTCCTGCCTCCAGTCAGGGGGCTGGACCAGATGACGCCATGAGATCCGCCCCTCCTGGCCTGGCTACCTTAATGGCTTAAGACCTAACACAGACGGGTGGTGGGGCATCCTATCAATGTTTGGGGCCTGATTCCCCCTCCCCCCCGCAGTTTGGGGTTTTTGCAGATTTCGCATGGCTATTCTGCTCCCATCCCTGTTCCAACCCCCGCCCGCCCCTCCCAGCTGAATACCGTGTTCTACAGACAACTCATTTGATTGGGTGTTTCATTTAAAAGGACAAATTGTTCGGAGGTGGATAGTGGTGATGGTTGCACAACAATGTGAACATACTTAATGCCACTGAACTACACTCAGAAAAGGTTAGAGGGCTAAATTTTAAAAAGACAAAAAACAAAAACAAAACAATTAAAAAACAAAATAAAAGTACTTACTAGAGATAGGTCAGCAGTTTTGCTCTGAGCTTCCTAGCAAGCAAGGCAAAGAAGGCAACTTTGTTTATTCCTTTAATACATATGTATTGGGTGTTTATTATGTTCCAGGCACTGGACTAGGATACAGTAGAGAACAAGACAAATATGGTCCTGCTCTATTGGAATTTATATTTTAGTGAGAGGGAGACAGATAGTAAGTCCTTAAGAGTCTAGAGTCTACTCTAGACAGTGGTTCATGCTAAGAAGAGAAAACACTGACAGCAGACTTGGTGGGGCTGGCTTAGGAGGGATGATTAGGGAAGCTGATGAGACATACAGTGGTTTGAATTGTGGCTCCAAAACATATGTCCCTCAGCAATCGCAGAATGTGGCCTTATTTGGAATAAGGGTTATTATAGATGTAATTAAGGTAAAGACCTCAAGATGATATCCTCCTAGATGAGGGTGGGCCCTAAATCCAGCAGTAAACACCCTTTTTTTAAAAAAATTAGTTATTGATTTTAGAGAGAGAAGAAGGTGAAATGAGAGAGAGAGAGAGAGAAACATCAATTTGTAGTTCCACTTATTCATGCATTCATTGGTTAATTCTTGTATGTGCCCTGACTGGGGATCGAACCCACAACCTTGGCATATCAGGACGATGCTCTAACCAACTGAGCTCTCTGGCCAGGGCCTAAATATCCTTTTAAGAGAAAAGAAGACACAAAACACAGAGAAGAGGGCCTGGTGAAGAAGACAGAAGCAGAGACCTGAATTCTGAAGCCCCAAACAAGAAACACCCAAGGTTGCCTGCAGCCACCAGCAGTGAGAAGGGGCATGGCATGAATCGTTCCTTCGAGCCACCAGAAGGAGCCAACCGAGTTGACACCTTAATTTTGAACTTCTGGCCTTCAGAACTGTGAGATGATATAGTTCTACTGCGTTAAGCTGCCGAGTTTGTGATCATTGGTGATGGCAGCGCTAGGAACTTAGCACAAGACCTGCATGATGAGAAGAAGCCAGCCGTGGAAGACCTGGTTACAGTCTTCCAGGCAGAGGGAACAGCACCTGCAAAGACCCAGAGACACGATTAATTACATCAGTGGTTCTCAGCCTGGCTGTGCATGAGAATCATCAGGGACCTTAGAAAAAACCTCTGAAGAACAAGTAAGACAGAATCTCTCTCTGGAGAAGGGAGCCCAGGCAATAGTGTTTTTTAAAAACTCCCCATATAATTTAAACTTGCAGCCAGGGATCTACCACTGAGTGCCACGATTCACAATCTTCACAAGGCAAAATAAATTCACAAAAACGAACTATTAAATTAAAGTATGGAAGCAATCCTGGTGCCCTGACACCCCTAGGGAGCTCTGCCCAGACCCAGCTGTCCTGCCTGACATGGTTGTGTCGCTGGGAGGGGAGAAACGAGGAACGAGGGGGCAGGAGATTCTGTTTGGCACTGAGTGGTCCCATATGCCTCTGCCCTTACCACGGCAGTGTCCCAGGCCCAGCTTTCAGCTGCCGGCGCCAGCTTTCTCCAGGTTGTCAGGGCCCACGCTGTGCCACACGGCAGCCTGCCGCGCCCCCTCTGTCCCAGCACCTCCAGGGGACTGACAGGCCTGGCTCAGACCTGCTCCAGCTCCCCGGTTCCTCAGTCCACCTGCTCCATACCATTTCCCAGGCCCCAGGCCCCAGTCCCCCACAGGATAACCTGCCCTTTAACACACCGGGGACCAGCTGCTCTCTCCCTGGCCCACTTCCCCACCCCCTGCTTATGCTCCTGAAATTCCTCATCTAACGTCTGCTGCTGGGGTCATCTCAACCAGGGGCGATTTGGTCCCCAGGACGTTAGGCAAGGTCCACGGACATTCTGGATCACTACAGTGAAGAGGGGGAAGATGCTACTGGTTCCTAGAGGCCGGAGGCCAGAGACACTGCTGCCCTCCTACACCGCACAGCGCAGTCCCAACAACAGGGAGCATCTGGCATCCATGTCGATAGTGCTGAGGTTGCAATGCCCTGACTAAGCTAAGGCACTGAGTGGCTCTTCCTGGCGATAACCCTCTGGCTTCCTTGGCCTGACAAGAATGGCCCAGCATCGCCTGGGGACGGACAGCCCGGTGGTGGAGAGGAGGGGAGCTAGCTCCCGGGATCCCCTGGGCTTTGCCTGCCTCCCCCTGTTCG